TATTCATAGCAGCACTGTTCACCATAGCCAAGATGTGGAAACAACCTAAATGTCCACCTACAGATGAGTGAATAAAGAAGATGTGATATATATATAATGGAATACTACTCAGCCATAAAAAAAGAATGAAATATTGCCATTTGCAGCAACATTCATGGACCTAGAGATGATTATACTAAGTGAAGTAAGTCAGAGACAAGTAATATATGATATTGCTCATATGTGGAATCTAAAAAAAAAAAACAAATCAACTTATTTACAAAACAGAAACAGACTCACAGACTTCGAAAACAGACTTATGCTTACCAAAGGGGAAAGGGGTGGGGAGATAAATTAGGAGTATGAGATTAACAGGTCCACACCACTGTATATAAAATAGATAAACAACAAGGATTTACTGTATAGCACAGGGAAATATATTCAGTATCTTGTAACAACCTATAATAGAAAAGAATCTGAAGCTGTACACCTGAAATTGTACATCAATTGTAGTTAAATTTTAAAAAACTGCTCACCTCTTCTAGTCAGTTTTATTGCACACTTCTTATCCTCTCCCATTTTGAGTCAATTTTATTGCACACTTCTTATCCTCCCCCATTTTGAGTCAATAAATATCTGTTAAGCACCTATGAAGTGCAAGACAGTATGTAAAATGTATAAAACATGCCTTCTTCTCAAGGCTTCATGGTCTCATAAAGGAGACAGACACATGCAGGAGACACAAGAATACAAGGCGAATTATGAGCAGTACTATATTCTACTAAGGAACAAACTCAGGATTCTGTGAAGGGGGGACCGTGAGAAACTTCCTGGAGGGAGTAGACTTTGAACTGGGAAGGGTAGATCTCTGATAAGAAGCTAAGAGGGCAGTGAGTGCCTGGGGATTATAAAGACCCTTGGTTTCACCAGATTTTTCTTTTCCCTTTTGTGAATATTTACCTTTAGATTCACAGCTTGTGCTTCTATTCAGTCTATCCACTGCCAGCTTCAAAGAATCACCCAAGCAGTGATTTATGGACAAGCATGTATTCGGTTGCACTTGGCATCCCGGAGGAGCTTCAGATTCTTTTCCATTATGGATTGTTAAAAGATATTAATACCCTTTAACTGCTCCCACTTGTAGAGTCTAAGTATGAGTTTTGTGAATAAAGCCTACCACTCCATGGAGGTGAATCTACATTGGAGATGTGGCATAATAAAGACAGCAGGCTTGGAAGTCCTTCTTCCTGTGTTTAAATACATGCTCAACATTTATAAACTGTGTGACCTTTGGTGAGTAAATTCACTCCTCTAAGCTTCAGTTTTCCTATCTGTAAAATGGGGATAATAATAGCATCCACTTTTTATGGGTTGTTTGGCATTTAAATGAGATAATGCATGTAAAGCAGTTAACACACTGCCTGGCACATAGCAGGCACTTAAACAATGTTAGCTATATTCTAAAACAAGCAGTTCTTACTCCATTGTGAGACAGTTGGCTTTAATCAGTGACAGTTTGCTTGAAAAGTGTGCAATGCGTTGAGGCTCAGATTACCTGTCTGGTAATGAGTCAAGCTGGTATACAGCTAGAAGACCTCTAGCTCCCTAAATGCCTTAGCCTCAGCTGGAGTCCAGATGAATCCATATCCCTATCTCAGGAGCAGTGTTAGTCTGGAGTAGCTGGGGATAAACCTGTAACCCTCTGTATGGCACTCATGGTCTCAGGGGTGCTACAGCACACTGGCCACCCTGTTTGGTGTCATCTAGCTTGCTAATCTAAAAGGGTGTAGCCTGGAAACTTAATTTCAGAGTACCAGGGTACACTTTTTGAAATGTGTGTAGAGATCCTTAGGACTATCCCAAGCTCTGGAGCTCATGACTGTAATAACACTATGATGTTGATAGTACAGGTATTATTTCTATTTTATGGATTAAGATACTGGTATTCAGATGTTGAGAATGGACTTGAGGACACAGAGGGGGAAGGGGAGCCTGGGACATAGTGAGAGAGTAGCGTGGACATATATACACTACCAAATGTAAAATAGATAGCTAGTGGGAAGCTGCTGCATAGCACAGGGAGATCAGCTCGGTGCTTTGTGACCACCTAGAGGGGTAGGATAGGGAGGGTGGGAGGGAGGCTCAAGAGGGAGGGGCTATGGGGATATATGTATGCATATAGCTGATTCACTTTGTTGTACAGCAGAAACTAACACAACATTGTAAAGCAATTATACTCCAATAAAGATGTATATATATTAGAAAAAGACACTGGTATTCAAAGTGATTAAAGGACTTACCCATGATTACCAAAACAGCAACTGATTTGGGGCTTGAACCCAAGACACTGATTCTAATTCACTCTAATTCACACTCTCAAGCTATATTTTTTTCCCAATTCTAAATCAGAAATACAGGTTATTGTACCTTGAATCGTCAGCCATAATAATAATACCATAAACCTCTATCTCTCAGAGGAAAAAAGACTATAATCTCACCACTAATGACATATACATGTATTCATGCATGTATTTATGCATAGGCATGTATATATATGTTATGTATGTATATTTTTGTAGTTGTATTAGCAAAAGTTGTGATAAATTCACACTTTTCCACCTATGATCCCTTGATCCCAAGAGTTCGCTAGGATTTGGAATGTAGTCTGTGGCCCTGACAGAGTAATTATGTCATAATTACTGCCCTGCCTGTAGACCTAACTTGTGATGCTTGTCTCAGCGAGTCTCTTGGTCCTGATGTTATAAGGATGTCACCTGGAGACTGCTCTCATTGAAAAGCCTTCCTGTTCATTATCCAGACTATGCCACCTGCCTTGGCTTCCTACACTGTGTAGAGAAGGGTTTGAATTGCACTATCCAAAATCTCTTCATTCCGTGGTTCTAGTAAACAATCTTTCTATCCAGTTTTTCACTCTTTTGGTTAGACATTGTTGCTTCTACCTCCTGGACTGTCAGTCTGGATAAATAATAGCGCTTAGTTTTGCAGCTAGTAGGATTTCTATGTGATTTTTACCACCACCCCCTTTTTTTTTTCATTTTTTAACCTTTTCTGTTATCGATTTTCCAGATGTCCAGGACATAATATATATATATATATATATATATATATATATATATATATATACACACACACACACATATAACTGAATCACTTTGCTGTACACCTGAAACTAAC